GTGTGTGGGGTAGAGGGAGGTCAGGGAAGAGTCTGTTACGCATGAGGGCGGTGGGGAGGTGGGACACACTTGCAACAAATGGACACAGAAGCAGCTGCTCGCCAGTTAGCTCCCAGCGGAGGTCAGCGCCATGCAGCCGGCCTCCGTCCTGCGTGGGTGCTCCGTTTTGGGGACCTGAGCCCACGTCCAGCTCCAGATCCACCGCGGCCCTCCCGCCTCCCCAGGGACCTGTCTGGGGCGGGCAGGCTGGCACCCAGCAGCTCCTGGAACGGGCGCCCTCGAGGAGCCCACGTGGCCAGCTGCCAGCCAGCAGCTCCCTGCTGCCTCCCTGGGGGTGGAGGTGAGTGCAGGTGAGCGAGAGCAATTATCTCCATGAGTGCCGGCTCGGGCTCGGGACCAGCGGGGGCCACCAGGGCCGACTTCCGCCTTGAGCTCAGGCTGAGTTCAGGGAAGGGCAGACCCTGCTCTGAAACCTGCCCCCACACAGGTGCGCGGTGCTCCGCGCCAGGCAGGCCTACAGAAACGAAAGCGAGCGTCACTGTTCCCATTCACAGCAACGCAGAACTGCCGACACACCGAAGAGAATGCTAGAAAAGACTTCTCCTCACTGAGGCGCCCTCCCTAGGACAGGCCTGGAGAGACCCCAGTGATAAGACTGAGCCCTGGATCGGGTGCTGCCGTGGGGTGACCGGGTAACCATGCATAGGTTGCAAGGGTGTACAGGCCAGTCTGCTGCGGGGTCCCCACGCCGCCTCTCTGAGGCCACCACAGCGCCCTGGCCGCTGGCAGGCACAGGGGTGTTTGCACAGGACCAAGGCTTTGTGTTTATGGACAAAGTGAGATCGCTGAGCAGATAAGGCCAGCAGGAAGCTAGGAGTCTGAGTCAGTCACCTGAGACCTGGGGGGAGGGGAGCCTAGCAGGGACGGAGCGTGGGTTACTGGATGACAGAAGGAGAGCAAGAGAGGTCAGGGCCAGAGCCGGCAGGGCCTCTGACTGTGCAGCCAGAACCCTGCCTGGACGCCCCAGGGAAGGACCCGAGGAGCAGACAGACGGGCACAGAGGTGGACACAGGGCCAAGCCTCCCTGGACCTGAGGTGAGGCCCGGGCGCCAGGGGAGGCCGTGCGAGCACAGGAGGTGAGCTCTGGTCTACACGGGCTTGGGCGGCGGGGAGCGCTAGCTACGCGGAGGGGGCTTTGCATTCCATGACACAGGGAGACAACACGAGACAGCGGTGTGTGCAGGACGGGCCTTCAGGAGTCGCTCTTCTTCTTGCTCTTCTTCAGGAAGGAGGGGGTGCGGAACTTCTTCTTCTTTTTGGAAGGGGACTTGCCGGGAGACCCATCGCTGCCTGGGTCTGCGGCAGCCCCCTCAGCAGCCGGGGAGGGGGCTTCTTCAGCCGCCGGGCCCGGGGCCGGCTCAGGACTGGCCACCATGGAGGGCCTGGCGGGGCTGGAAGGGCCACGGGCTTCGCCCAGCCCCTCGTCCTCCTCCTTGTCCAATGTCGGGAAGCCAGGCGCTTCTGAAGGCTCATCGGGGGACAGGTCAGGGAGAGTGGGCTTAAAGGTGGCAGCATCACTGTCGTCTCCAAAAACAGCATCTTGCAGGTCTAGTGGGCGGGTAGGAGAGACGGGGTTAAAGGGCAACTGCCCAGCCCTCAGAGAGGGACCTCAAGGTGGGCAGCGCCCTGCACAGAAACTGCCACTGTAAGGACACCAGGGCCTTCTACCAAGACAAGGATTAGGAACTTTAAATCGTGTCACTACTTCAAGGCTGGATGGAGCCCATTGTACCAAACACAGACTC